CATAAATACAGGGCTAATTATTACCTTTTTACGTTTTGTTCATTTTGTTGCAATAAATCATAAATTTAAAGTTTACAATTTATTTAATATCTGGTTTTATGTTAAATTAAACAAAAAGAAAAGGGGGCAGAGGGGGCGGAGACTTATCAACGGGCCGAACGGAAGCCCCCCGTCGGCCACGTTTAGCCCAGGGACCTTGAGTTTGAATTGTGGTTCTAAAATGCTTCTTCTGTAGCTCTAAATTTAAATCTTGCGGAACGCCTTTGAGTTTCTCAAGGCTTTGATTTTTGTTTTGAACTAATTATTAAAGGCAAACGTGGATTTCCCCCTTTTTTCATCCATCACTCCGATGACAAATGAAAACAATAACATAATTTATGTTTGGGCTGTCGTTTTTTGTCTCTCAGTGGAAACAAAAATATCCTTCGGGGGATCTTCTGCTGCAGAGCGGAGTCTTTTAACTTTCCAAACGAGATAAAAACCCGGCGGTTTGTTTTCCCTCCTCCATTATGCTGTGAGACGTTAAGCAGGCTGAGGCCCAGCAGCTTTACAGAGCAGGCAGCCCAGGGTTTTGGGGTTAGAGCACATGGTGGAGCTCCTCAGCTCCCTCCTCGCCCCGGTTACCTTCCACATCCTGTTCCTCTCCACTCGAACCAGATGGTTTTATTTTATTTATTTTTGTGCGTGGGCCACAGATGAGACCCGAGCTGAAAGCTGGGTCCAGGTGGTAGGATGGACGTCGAGACCTCTGGGGTTTGAGAGAGAGAATAAACGATGGGCGCAGGATGAGCGAGAAAGCCAGGAACACGTTGATCCCGGCTTGGCGTGCTCACAGACGACAAATCTGCCGGCGTTAATTGTGTTTCTCCTCCTTCTCTTTTCTTCCCCTCTCTCTCTCTCTCTCTCTCTCTCTCTCTGTCTGTCGCTCCTTCGCGTCGTCAGACAGGCCCTGGAAAATATAAACAGGATGCAGTCTTGTCTGATCGTAAATCCCCTCTCGTCTGCTCTCTGGCCCCTGGCCCTGAACCACGGCCGTTCCCCTGCAGCCCTGGCCTCTTCGTCCCCCACAAAGACCCCCCAACCCAAGCCCGCTGCAAAGCCAAGAGCTCGTGCATTCATGTCACGCYTGTGCACCGAGAACGGTTTTAACTCTTATATTTTCTGAGCAACAACCTGCCCCTTCTACGTGCAGCTCGAGTAAAACCAGAACTTTTTTTCTTTAAGAGACTGTTTTTAAAAACAAGCTCCTTAATCAGCCTCTCTGTGACACAGATGACAACTGTGGCTGCTGAAACCGAACGCCACAAGACTTCCTCACTGATTGTGGGGAAAAAAAAAAAAAGTCCTCAATGAGACGGAAGCTCCATCAATCGTCTCCCCAAACCAAACCACAGCTGCTTTAAATCTGGCACAGACCTGCCGATTATTACACCAATAACTATTGTTAAAACTAGTGCCGTATTTATGGGGTAAATCTTGTGCCAGAAGGAAGTGAATTTGAATTGRTCCGATTGAATCTGAATGTGCATAATTTGTAATTGAATACAATGGTTTGAAACTGAATTTAAAGGTGAATTAATTTGCTTTGAAACTGTATTTTGGTTTATTAAAAATTCAGTTTGTCTACTTTCACTTTCAGTTCCTTAACTCATATTTTTGTGTCACATCCTGGTCCTTGAGAAAGCCAGGCAGAGTAATCAAACACAGATCCACAGATTTATGTTTCACTTTGGTGAAGTTTCTCTTCTGTATGTAACAGAGTTGATGCAATCCACTGTAAAAGTGACAAAAACAAAGTTATTTTATTACAGTGATTAATTTGACCTATATGTAGAAAATGTTACATTTACATCACATATTGATCAGTCAGCAGCAGCATCTGATCAACATGTGATCCATGATGGGATGTGAATGTAACATTTTCTACATATAGGTCAAATTAATCACTGCAATAAAATAACTTTGTTTTTGTCACTTTTACAGTGGATTGCATCAACTCTGTTACATACAGAAGGGAAACTTCACCAAAGTGAAACATAAATCTGTTTATCTGTGTTTGATTACTCTGCCTGGCTTTCTGAAGGACCAGGATGTGACACAAAAATCTGAATTATGGAACTGAAAGTGAAAGTAGTCAAACTGAATTATTAACAAACCAAAATACTGTTTCAAAGCAAATTAATTCACATTCAAATCATTAAATTCAGTTTCAATTTGGTGCAATTCATTTTCAAACCAATGCATTCAATTTCAAATTATGAACATTCAGATTCAATTCCTGTTGMCACAAGATTTATCCCGTAGGTATTCCTTTCTTATAAGTTTTACATTTTTTAGAGGCCACACCGTTTGTTGTTTTGTTTGTTTCCTCCATCTTGAATAGATGTAAACTTTTCTGCTCAGGTCTGCATGCGCTGAGGCGAGCGCTGGGAGCGTCCCTCCAAGCATCGGATCAGCAGCTGGCGGGGACCGTGACCGTCACTCTGCAGGACCTGCAGTGGGCCCTGACTGTGGTGAAGCCCAGCGCCATGAGAGAGGTTGCCATTGATGTCCCGAAGGTACAGAGAAACCTAATGTGTCGTTATCGACAGGTACACACAAAGCCACGATACACTGAAGGCTTTCAGAAGTGTTTCTGTAAACGTGAAAACACCATCGAGACAAAATACTTCTCTTTACATCAACTTAATTACCTAATAGGGTGTAAATCAGGAGCTTTATCAGGATACGATGATTTATGGATTGGTTTGGATGACGATACGATGTTTCTCAAAGCCTGCCACGATTTTGAGTGACGTGTTTAATCCGGTGAATATAATTCAACGGCACACTCCTCAGGCCATTAAAGAGCCGCCATTCTTTGCGGTATCTGGGACGAGTGTTAGACGTGGCTCGGCCCGGTCTGACCCAGCCCCGGTTGTGTTTGTTTTGAGCAGGTTGCCGTCTCGACATGGTATAAATGTGCAAATCTCACTTTGTTTTATTTGCAACACAATAATGGACAACGTCAAAGGTTATACCAGTGCGTCCAGCTGTGTAACGCTGAAGATGCAAGATGACAGAGCGATAAGCTAATGGTAGCTAACGTTAGCTTGTTGTAGCTTGCTATAGTTGTTGTTTAGTTCAACTCGTGTGAACAAACATTACAAATGCTGCAAACGATTAAAATAAAGTTAACCTTGTTTGTGATACGGTGAAGACGAGATGAGAGAATGGTAAGCTAATAGTAGCTAACGTTAGCTTGATAGTAGCTTGCTACAGTTGTTTAGCTGAACTCGTAGGAACAAACGCTTTAAAAAGGCTGCAAATGATTAAAGTAAAGTTAATCTCATCTGTGACGCTGAAGACGAGAGGGCAAGACGACCGAATGGTAATCTAATGCTTGCCAATGCTAGCTAATGTTAGATTGTTGTTTGGTAGCTTGCTACAGTTGTTTAGTTCAACTCGTGTGAACAAACATTACAAATGCTGCAAACGATTAAAATAAAGTTAACCTTGTTTGTGATATGCTGAAGATGAGAGTGCAAGACCACAGATCAGGAAGCTAACGATAGCTAATGTTTGCTAGCTTGCTACAGTTGTTTAGCTGAAGTCGTGTGAACAAACTTTAAAAAGGCTGCAAACAGTTAAAGTAAAGTTCATCTCATCTGTGTGATGTAACCCTTCTGGATTCCAGAAATCAGTCTGGAACTGGGTCTTAAAAGCTAATGCTAATGCAAACATGCTAATGCAAACCCAGGTCGGGCCTTGCCATGCAAAAAAGGCAATTAGTATCTTGTGTGGACCAGAATTGGGCCAGAAACATTTTGCCATGTTGGGAATGTTCTGTAATCCACTTTGATTCATAAAATTCATAGAAAATGTGTATTTTTATTGAGCAGAATTCTTATAAACAGTTTGTTAAAACTTTTAAGTGAAAAAATCAAAATAAGTATGAATGGTTTATATATTTTAAAAGAGCAMATTTTTTTTCTTGGCGTCCACTCGGCTGCCTGTAGGGGTCCCGTCAGTAGGGTGTCTCTGTTTAGAGGTAGTGAAAATAAATTATTATATTAATATTTTGCATTAAGACGATTCAGACCTGCAATTAAAGTGCCTGTGACATCAAATTTTTATAATACATATGAATTCTTTTTTGGAAGGATAACATTGGTAACATGTTGTAAAATAAATTTCACGCCCCTGAGATGAACAGTTGTTGAGATATTTGCATGTGAAGAAACAGGAAGTGATGTCAAAGGGGAATGTCTGCATGTAAATATAGCATTATTACAACCACTGAGAACACAGACTGTAGAGAAGAATCTGATGTTTCTTTAGATTATTTTTAGTCGCTATCAAAGAGAGATGAGGAAGAGTAAAAGTTTAAATATTATTTTAATAAACAAAGACCAGAAAGAGTTGATGTCACTTCCTGTTTCACTTTGACTGAACCAAGTTCAAAAGGAAATAGGCCAGTTATGTGACAAAATGGGTAAAAATAATGTGTATTATGGTAATTTTCTTCAGTATAAAGATGTTTGCCTTTAAAATTATTATTCATATTTGTTTTGCTTGTGATTTTAGCTTTTTCTTTTTGTAGCATATACTGTATTTAGTTTAAATATTAACTTCTGAAACATCTGCAGACTCGGTCGAGGAACACGGCTGTCTAGTTTACGGTCTTAACCTTATTGAAATAGACGGTGATGAAAGCGGTGTTTTATCATCATCATCGTGTGTTTCTGTTGGGTCCGACTTCACGGTGGTCTTGGAAAGAAGCAGAATGCAGCATCCGCCTCATTTGAAGCACAGCTCGGAATAAAAATGTTTTTTTTATGCATTACCACGAGAAAAGTCCATTAAGAGGAGCCACTCCTGCCTTTTCTCTGCGCTCTATATCTTTCTTTAGATCCTTTTGGGTCTCGGGGATTAAAAGATGGGATCAGGATGAGGCAGAGTGGTTCTGAAGCCACGGCCGTGCTGCCCTCCTTCATGGAGATGAATCACTTTGTCTTTTTTTGGGGGGGGTGGGCTCGAGAGGGGAAGGAGGGATGAGAAGACAGCGGTGAGACTCCAGGATGTTTTGGAGTTTGCATGTGCGAGACATAAGGGACAGGAAGAAGCTAACATCATCCTCACACCGGTAATTGAAAGCAGATCTGGTCGCTGACGGTTCCTGCCAGCAGCTAAAAAAAGAGAAAGAAGAAGAAGAAGAAACGCTTCCTGTCCCTTCACCTCAGCCCGCCTCCCTCTTTTCTTTTCAGCAGCGCCGTCCTCTGAGCTCGCCCAGAGACATTCAGTCCTTGTGGCCTGTTCCTGGAAACAAGAGGAGAGAGTTTGGGTTTCTTTTTTCTTTTTTTTTCTTTTTTTAWTCCCTTTGCAGAGCTCAGCTGAAAGGCCAGCCGCAGAGCCCCGGACTTGATTATAGCCACATGACTGCAAACATTTGTTTCTAATCTGTTTTATATAAGAAACTTCCAGCGGTGCCGGATGAATATCGCCCAGAGTTTCTCTGAAACCTCCTCCGATCTTCTATCTGGAGGACGGACCGTCTCGTAGTTAGAAATGTATCGCAAACAGAGAAGCCTAGCTATGTAGGTCACAGGTCAGCCAGGGTAAACTCTATGAAAACATTGTAATTGTGCAAAATCAACAAGCTCAAAAAGCACGTATAATTAGTTATTAATGAAAATTCTCATCTACGATCTTAAAGGATAGTTTAATACAAACCAGTTTAGCCTCAGCTTTTTCCCGACGAATGCATGCGGTCGGCTCGCTTCCATCATTTGTGATCATTTCTGACTAAACGGTCGATTGAGGTTAAAAGATTACAGAGTTATTAGAAGAGGCGTTGAAGTTGTGTGATGGAGGGATGGTGAGAGGGTCAGGCGAGGATAGAAAGGAACTGTTTTTTGTACTTTTTCTTTCGGCTGCTCCTTTCTTCAGGGGTCGCTGCAGCGAGAAGAGGAAGGATAACTTTTGTTTTGTTTTCCATACATGTTTGAAAAATTAAACTAAATTTAAGTTGAAACTTTAAATACAGCTTGAATGCCTAATGCTGTAAGATTGTTGCTAAATAGCTGCAAAAACTAAAGCTACCTTATTATAGTTAAAGAAGTAGCTGAAATTAGCACAAAGAAACAGAACCATACAAATGTGAAGTTGGTACAACACAGCTAAAATGAACTGAAATCAGCTGAAAAGTAGCTTAAAAGGCAGAAAACAGCTTATGTTAGTGTAAAAAATGCAAAAAGAAGTACAAAGCTGTTGCAATTTTTGATAAAATGGCTAAAAAATGTTTGCTAATGTTTGCTGAATTAAGCAGTAAGAAGCTGCGCTTATTGTACAAAGGTGAAGTTGGTAAAAAAAAAGGCTGAAATTAGATAAAATCAGCTTAAAAGTAGCTTAAAAGACAGAAAACACCCTAAATTAGTATTAAAAGTACACAACGTTGCAATTGGTGATGAAATAGCTAAAAATAAGCTGAAATTAGCTGAAAAAAAAGGGTAGCTGAAAAAGCTGAAACTAGCACAAAAAGCAGAACCAGCAAATGTTTGCTGAATTAAACAGTAAGAAGCTGAAATTATTGCCAAAAAAGGAAGTTAACTGAAAAAATCTCAAGTTAGACAAAAAGTAGCTAAATACACAAATCAATAGCTAAAGTTAGCAATTAGCTAAATGAAGCATAAAAAGCTTAAAATAGAAGAAATCAGCAGAGAGGAGCTCGAAAAAGTTGAAATTAGCAGAAGAATAGCAGGAAGTTAATATGATAGCTAAAAAGGCATAAAAATAGCCAAAGTCAGCCAAAAACATGCATGTGCATCGAAGGTTCGTTCTTATTTGTTTTTATCATTTTAAAGTCAGTTTTTTTTACCTTTCATGTTTTTTTATTGCACAGTCCAMCTTTAATGTGTCGATTTTGCAACTTTTAGAACTCCATTAATGCACTTCTTGTCTCCTTGTTTTTTTTTTTGTCTAAAAAGTCCCCGACACCCCCTTTTTTTTTCTTTACCCCCGATCAAAGAGCTGAAGCCTAAAAGGCCCCTCATAAAGTTCAGAAAACAGTAAAAGATAATAACTGGGTTTTGCACAAAAAAAAGAAGAGAGGAAATAAAAGGCATAAACAGCACAGTGAAGTGTGAGTCAAAGCATTTCCTTTTAATTCTGCAAACACTATAATTGTGTCACTTTTCAACATTTCTTACTGATAAACTCAGAGTTGAAAGGTTTTGAGTTTTTACATAGTTTGTCTGAAAACACTGTGTGGAAAGAACGGGACGGGAATCCTTAAAAATGTGCAGTAATGTTCATTTTTAAGTTTCCTGCTTGTCGACGTTCGTAAACAACAAAAAGAGCAAATTAGCATCGTTTGTTAGCGACATCACTGGGATCAGTGCCAACTGGGGAGGAGCAAACTGCAGGATTTTCTGTTTTGTTGCTTTACAACCTGGAATTTAAATGGTTTTTCATTATGATCAGAAAAAAGTGGAATAAAGAGCCAATCAATGCTGATACTGGATAAACTTCTGGAATCACTTGAACAAGATGAAACTTTATATTATCGAATGAAAAACCG